CAAGTTCAGTATTCTCTAATACTTTCTTGATATTTTGTGTTGTCCAATAAAAATAGAAATAGCATTAAATTAATTGGTCCAGATTGTAGTAGCCCTACTGTACTGTTGTTTCTGGACACTGCCAATTAGGAGTGTCATGGCTGACATTCCAGGTGGTCTCCTGGTTATTACAGTAATATGTATTTTGTTGGTTCTCATTTTGAAAGGCATGTCCAAGCACCTACTGATTAGTAGGTCCTTACTGTATTGTATGCAAATTAATTATGTATAAATAGCAGTCAGATTTTCTGCATGTAGAACAGCCATTCATGAGTTATATTACACATGATGGGAGAAAGCTTGTTAAATATGAATGATTGCCTGTGATTTAAATCATGTTCTTTCTAAGATCAGGTTAGATATGTAGATAGATAGATAGATAGATAGATAGATAGATAGATAGATAGATAGATAGAACCTGACCTTAGAATGTACATGATATATATATGGACTCCTTGGTGGCGCAGCAGGTTAAACTGCTGAACTTCCTGACTGATAAGTTGGTGATTCAAATCACCAACCTGTGGGGTGAGCTCCCGCTGTTAGGTCCAGCTTCTGCCCACCTAGGAATTCGAAAGCATGCAAATGTGAGTAGATCAATAGATACTGCTTCTGCAAGAAGATAATGGCACTCCATACAATCATGCCAGCCACATGACCTTGGAGGCGTCTACAGACAATGCTGGTTCCTCCATTTAGAAATTTAGATGTGCATCACTCCCAAGAGTCGAGCACAACAAGTCTTAATGTCAAGGGAAACCTTTTCCTTTACCTTGGTTCCAGGACCCACCGAGGATACCAACATCTGTGGATGAACAAACCCCTTTATATATTATAGTATAGTAAAATAATGTCCTGCATACAAAATGGTTAATAGTTTGACTGAGTGCCAGAGAAAGCTTGGGAATCTGTGAAATGGTGGGAGGCTTTTTGGATTTTTAGTTTTTTGGCTTCAAACTACAGGAAAGGAGATTCCACCTGAACATTAGGAAGAACTTCCTAACTATGAGAACTGTTGAGCAGTGAAACTCTCTGCCTCGGAGTATGGTGGAGGCCCCTTCTTTGGAGGCTTTTAAACAGAGGCTGGATGGTCATCTGTTGGGGTGCTTTGAATGTGATTTCCTGGTTGTTAGCAGGGGGTTGGACTGGATGGTCCACCACCCTGACTGTAAGAGCTGTTCAGCATGAAACTCTATGCCTCGGAGTATGGTGGAGGCCCCTTCTTTGGAGGCTTTTAAACAGAGGCTGGATGGTTATCTGTCGGGGGTGTTTTGAATGCGGGTTTCCTGCTTCTTGGAAGGGGGTTGGACTGGATGCCCCATGAGGTCTCTCCCAACCATGATTCTATGATTCCAAGATTAAATGAAATCTAGTGCCTTAAGGCAGGGGTCTTCAAATGTTTTAAGCAGAGGGCCAGTTCAAGGACCCTCAGACTGTTGGGTGGGGAGACTATAGTTTGTTTGTTTGGGTTTTTTTTAAAAGATGAATAAATTCCTATGCACACTGCACATAACTTATTAGTGCAGAAAAACATAAAAGAACAATACAATATTTAAAATGAAGAACAATTTTAACTAACATAAACTTATCAGTATTTCAGTGGGCATTTTGGCTGTTGAAATAATCAAGTTAATTAGGATTGTTGTTGTGTGCTTTCAATTCATTTTAGACTTAAGATGACTCTTAAGTCTAAAATTTAGAGTGCACGGTGGGTAAATTACCTTGGAGGACCACATCAGACCTATGGCTTTAATTTTGGGACTCCTGATTTAGAGTATCAAATTACAAATCCCAGGAAATTTTTAGAATTGAGGTAGTACAGTTATAACATCAACTGTATAGTGTGCATGATATGAAACAAATGCTACTACATTAATTTTAAGGAAAATATCAAAGATGATTTTTAATTCAGTGAATGATTTTCAATCCAGTGATGAAGATGTTCCTGAGTTGTGACTGGAAAATGTAATGATAGGTTATTAATTGTTTTATCATAATGTTTTGATTGTAACATATGGTGGTAAACCACACTGAAAACCACCCTGTTGAGTTTTGGAAAGCTGTGTGATGGGATTTAAGTGTCAAACATGTGTCAAAACTATGTCTCAAGAAAGCAATATGGGTACATTCATAAAATTTTAAATAGTGAAGGCCAGTTATTTACTTCAGCACAGTTAAGAAGGAAAGCCTTTGCTTCAGTGGAAGCAAGAGAAAATGAACCACTTTTTTTAAAAAAAAGATATTGTAATTAAACCAGAAATGTGGGGGGGGGGAATTGTGGGAGGAGAAACTGAGGAAGAAACTGAGGGATTCGGGTAGCTGTAGCCAAGAAAATTGAACCCCCGAGTGGTGCGGCAGGTTAAACCACTGAGCTGCTGAACTTGCTGACCAAAAGGTCGATGGTTCAAATCCGTAGAGTGGGGCGAGCTTCTGCTGTTAGCCCCAGTTCCTGTCAAGCTAGCCATTTGAAAACATGCAAGTGTGAGTAGATCAATAGGTACCGCTTCTGCAGGAAGGTAGCAGCACTCCATGCAGTCATGCTGGCAACATGACCTAGGAATTGTCTACGGACAACACAGGCTCTTCAGCTTAGAAATGGAGATGAGCACTACCCCCCATGTCGGACAAGACTAGACTTTTACCTTAGCCCAGAAAATAACTTTCCCATGTTCTGGTAAAACCTAAATGGTTGGTAAACCAAAAATTGGGGGGGGGGGTGGTATGTAGTGGAGCAGCTAAATTATTTAGCATGTTGTAGCCTCCAAAACCAAAATGATATTAAGGATTACAACTAGTGCCTTCTGATAAGGCTTCAACACAGCTGTGTATCTGCACGCAACACTTCATGTGGTTATCTGGTTATCAGATGCCTACCTGTTGTTTTCTCGTCAGGCTCCCAGTCTGCTTTAGTTATATGTTAATCATAGCCTGCTTATTTGCTTCTTCTGGATTCGACTCCCAATTGTGTTCTGTTCTGCTTTAAAGCTGCTATTGTTCTTCTGCTGCTAGTTGTGTTTAGTTTGTGATATGCAAAATCTGGTTCTTAGTTGAGTTTGTATTTTTGTTCTTACTGATTTCTCTATTGCAAATTCAAAAGAATGTGGGGAGGATAATTACAAGGAGGGCGGGGGAGAGAGAGAATGTGTAATAGTGAGCTAAGCTTTAATACAAAGTTTTCTAAAAGAAAAAACAATTGAAGTTGATATACATTCAAGGATGGATTAGACAGTATATTTTTCAGATTCTCAACCATGGCTGTCTCCAGTTTCCACTACAACAAGAACGCGTAGGGTCCAACAATGCTTTGCCTGCTTCTAACTCAATTGTCCTTACAATTGACAAAGGAAAGGGGGGAAAACAGCTAGAGTCCAATTCCAGTTTTGTAATCATTAAGAGTGTCATATTTGTACATAACCCAGTTCTGCTAAGGTCAGATATATATTCACTTCCTGTAGCCATGCTTTTTCATGCATCAATTACATCAGTTACATCAATAAAATTCATCAAAAATATTACCAAATTTCTGCACATACATTAAGTAAATAAATGCTTAGGTGTGGAGCAGCCATACAACTCAATCATCCGATCACTGTGTATGAATGCCCCAGGACATAACTCTGGTCTCCAAACATTGATGTGGAACATGGGTTGGACCGCAACTCTCATCATTGCCAAAAAAACCATACCTAAACAGTGGGATGTTTAGATGACCACATATTTGCTTTGGAGCAATGCCTCTAGAACATGGCCATATAGCCCGAAAAAACCCACAAGAACTGAATGGGCATGTGTGTCTTAAAACTGACCTGGTAGGATTTGTTACGTTTTCGTGGACCGAAGAGCCAAATAAAACCCATGTAATAATAGATTTATAAAAACAACTTTAAGTGGGTATCAGTTTATTTACAACCAATGGGTAGTAAAACACATATAATACGTCTCCAAAATGCTTTTCATATGCTAATGCTCCTAAGCTACCTTGAGGGTTATGGGAAGCACATTGGTCAAAAAATTATCTGAACCCACAGATGGTACTTCTTTTGTAAATAATATTAAAGAAGTTACTTAACTAATCCTTTCACTATCCAGGCCATGTGTTGAACAGAGCTGGAAAAAGTTACTTCTTTGGACTCTTAACTCAGGGCTCTTCCACACAGCCCTATATCCCAGAATATCAAGGCAGAAAATCCCACAATATCTGCTTTGAACAGGGTTATCTGAGTCCACACTGCCATATATTCCAGTTTAAAACAGATATTGTGGGATTTTCTGCCTTGATATTCTAGGATATAGGGCTGTGTGGAAGGGCCCTCAGAATTCTCCAGAATACCCAGACTGCATGGTCTCTGGTTGGCTGATTTTGAGAGTTAAGACTCCAAAAAGTAACATTTTTCAGTCTCGGTACTGGATGCAAATATTCTCTTCAGGATTTCTCTATTCTAATCATGCAGAATGGTTGCATGAATCCACCCTTTCTTTTAATTTTACACCTGAAGTCCCATGCAGACTTACAGGGGAATAAATCCCATTGATCTTAGTGGAACTGCCTATGAATAGATGTATATATAATTAATTACTCCATAAACCTCTTTTTGTAATAAGGCCAGGATATCTCACTCAACATTATGACATACCAGAAAATTTAATGTTTGTTATGGATCTTTTATGTATCCAATCCATCCTAATGAATTCAATGGATATCAAGATATATGGGTATTGACCCATTCTACATTAAAAATGCCTTGCATATTTTTTTTCCAAATGCAAAGTGTCAGATTTACAATCTAAAAGATACTACAGAAAAAGGGAAGGGAAAGGGAGGGAAAAGGAAAATGAGAAACTCATGCACAGGGTCATAATATTCTTTTAGGACATTGTGTGTGGATTCTGAAGCTAGTTACCAGGCAGATGTCTGTTTTGACCCATTCCTAGCCATGGTTTATCCTTTATTCATGCTGCAGGGTGCGAAATTCCTGGGTGCCAGCTTGCCTATGGCAACCTAGAATACTCCAAGGCAGGCTCACAAAATCTTCACCTAACCTCTGGGACAGGTAATTAAACAGTCATGTTTTATCAAATTGATGTTTCTTTTATGACTTTCTGCTCTTGCTTTTTAATTTTTTAAAAAACCCACAGTTCCCTTGCTAGTTTATTTTCCAGGAATTTCAATAAACAGATGCGGCGTTTTGGAAATGTAGGATTTGACAACAGCTCCATTTCATTATCTACACCACAGAGCTTCACAGCAGCCTATTTTAATTATTAATGCCATTGTATGGTATTATTTATTATTTATTTATTTCTTGCATTTATTGACCGCCCCTCTCAGCCCGAGGGCGACTCGGGGCGACTCGGTAGCAGCTAAATGTCTGTTTCACTCATTCTTTAATTAATAAAGCTTAAAAAAAACACAGAAGTTACAATGGATTCTGAAGAGAGTTGCCAACTTTTTGGTGGTGTTCCTGTATCTTGATCTATAGCAGTGGTTCTTAACCTTTGGGCCATGGACCACCAGTTATCCGTGAGGATGAAAAACTGGTCCATGAGCCTCCTTCCTCTTTATTTATTTTATTTCTGCTCCTTTCATGCTACCTGCCATTCCTTCCCTATCGCTGACCATGGCATATGTCAAAAAATAGAGCTGATGTGGTCTATCCAATTCAATTTTCTGAATCAGCACCCCACACCAAATCTAAAGTTGACCAAAAACTGATTCATAATCCTTTTATTACTAATGTTTGAGAGTGGTCCCTGGTCAAAGTAGTCCCTGGTGGAAATGGTCCTTGGTGAAAGTAGTCACTGGTGGAAATGGTCCCTGGTCAAGTGGTCCCTGGCCAAAGTGGTCCCTGGTCAGAGTGGTTCCTGGCCAAAAAAAGGTTGGCAACCACTGATCTATAGATATCAGTAGGCCAAAATGCATATCGACATATTATGGAAGGCTTCATCTGATGCTTTCTGAAAACCAAACTGTGCAGGAATATATAGAAGTGGTGGGGGGGGGGGGTAATTTTGATTACTGTAATGCTGAAAAATAAGCATATATGTTTATTGCTGCTATTAGAACTTGTCCATCCCTATAGAGCCAAAGGTTGACTGGATTGCTTGGGTTTGTTTTTTTAAAAAAAAAACACTTTTGTTTATAGTGTTTCCGTTGAATCTCTGGTCTCCAGAAATGTGAGGGTTTTTTTAGATAAAAACAGGAAAAGGTTGCAACCACCAATAATTGGGAATGCATTCAAGGAGATGAAATCCTAATATTATTTTCCTCCTGTCCTCTGGGAATAGCATAGCTACAAGAGGCATTGTTCACATTAGTGCCATTATTACACAGCCTATACTCTCAATATTTTCTTAGGGATGGGAGGGTAGTGAGCTGATATGACACCTTTCTGGGTGGCAATGCCTGTGTGGATGTCTTTTCCCATATCTTTACTAAGAAGGTTTTTAGCAGCTTTGGATGTGTATCTGATGCAAAAGAGAAAAAGGGGATGGGGCTGTTACAAGCCAAACTTTTCCCTGTCATTTCCCCCCAGAAAACTTCTGTTTTCCCATTTTTCTTAGCACATATATTATTTTCAAGAGAGAGGCTGCATTTGTGATTTTTGTTTGTTTTTTGGATTTCTATCCTGTGTCCCTTCACAGAGCTCAAAGCAGCGTATATGGTCCTCTAGTTCCAAATATCATCCTTTAACCAACCTTGAAATAGGTTAGGCTGAGAAACGACTAGCCCAAAATCACCCAGTGAGATTCGTCATTTGTAGTTCCCATCTCTTGATCTCTGGAGCTTGGAGATACCAAGAAAGCAATTAAGTCAGATCCAGGTTTACTTACATAGAGATAGCATATGCAGGCATTTTCCACAATATAGAGGATTAAACTAGGCAGATGTCTGGTATGGAAGAGTCACCCTGTCTGAACCCTGCCAAGGAGATATGGAGTGTAACTCTAACATACTCTTGCATATCTTCTTTAGATGCCCACCATGTAATATGAGCTTGTTAAGGTTTCCTCCTGTCATAGCACCATGGGGCTGTCAGTCCTGGAAAGGAAACTAGTTAAAAGTCCCAAGTGTCAATCCCTTGAAAAACCAACTGTCATGAGAAACAAACGGTTCACTTCTTGGGTGGCCTTTAACCTGCCTCTTAGCTGAAAGAACAGAACACCTCGGCAGGAAAAGTCCTAAAATAGAAGCACTGCAAGCCTCATATAGATGCTTTAGATATATAGATAATATATTTGACTACAGCTAGGAGCTCCATATGCTATTCTAAAACAACCACTACAATTTCTATGCTAGGGCTACCAAACTTTTTGTCTGCCAGGGTGCACACAGGTGATTGGGGCTTAAACCCAATCTATTATGCCATGCTGGCTCTCCAATTGGCATTAATAAAATTAGATCTGTAGGTATGAGTAGCTTAGTGACTCATTGCCTTGTATCAGTACGTAAGGCTTCTTCTGTGAAAAGAGTTTGTTCATTAGAGCCATTCTCTTCCATCCTCTCTCTCTTGTCAAAACAACCAGGATCAACCAGCTTGTCTCCTGTAATCTGAAGTGAAATGCATATTACAGAGGCTTGAGAGGCTAAAATATGACAATTCCAGCTTCCATAAGTGTCCAGCCTACTTTAGCTTCCCTGACTCATCGTTGGCTTTGGCACTGAGTCCCTTGTATTTCTTGTCTTAGCCAAGTAATTTGTCTTACTCAATCATGCAGCTTCCCCTCTCTCAGATATATAACTCTCAGGAATGTCTCTTCAGCAAAACAAGAGACCTTGTTAATGTATGGGTGTGTGTGTGTATATATCTAGCAAAGCATTTTGAAGACTCCAGATCAGCTTTTGTCTGTTGAGAGGTCCACTGCCTCTGTTTGGAAGATCTGACCCGCTCAGGTCCTAGCCATCCTGTGTTCAGGAATAAACTAAAGTAATGAACAGATATGAAATATGACTATATTGACTGCAGGTAGATTGTAAGTTGATGCCCTAATATAGTGGTTTTCCAACCTTTGGTCCTCCAGGTGTTTTGGACTTCAACTCCCACAGTTCCTAACACTGGTAAGCTGGTTGGGATTTCTGGGAGTTGAAGTCCAAAACACCTCGAGGCCCAAAGGTTGGGAACCATTGCTCTAAGAGATAAAAAGCAAAACATGTTTTCATTTTCAAAAGTTCTATCACGTCCCCTTAACCAAATACATACAGCAAGATTTCTTATACTCTTAATCTCACTCAATGTACTAGACACTATGGGTGCATCCAGACAGTCCCTTTATTGCAGAAAATTCCACAATAAAAAGGGGGCTGTCCAGATGACATTCTGGGAAACCCGCAATTAATTTGCCACAAACCAGGGTTTTCCTGGTTTGTGGTGAATTAATTAGATAGTGGATTTATTCTACACCTTCTTGGAAGGCATGGGATAAACCTTCTATTTCCAGTGTCTGGACTGCAGTCCAGACACCATTCCCACAGTTTTCTGTACTAAATTAGTCCAGAAAACTGTGGGAATCCAAACCCCCATCCCACAAAGCCTTAAAACCTCTCTTAAAAGTAAGGAAAACTTACCCGGCCTCCAGTAGAGTGTTGCTAGAGCTCACCTGATGCATACAAATGATGTGCCAAGAGAGCGAGGGGGGGAATCGATTCCCCCCCCCCCCGCTCTCCTGGCATGTCATTTCTACGTGCCAGGAGAGCTCCAGCAACATTTTACTGGAGGCCGGGTAAGTTTTCCTTACTTTTAAAAGGGGTTTTAGGGCCTTGGGGGATGGGGTTGGGATTCTGGGGGGGGGGGGGTGGATAGAGGCCCAGGAACATCTGTGTGTGTGGATAGGGGCCCAGGGACATCTGTGTTTTTTAAACATGGATGCTCCTGTGATAAAGGGCTGTGTGGAAGTGTTCTCAGCCATCTCTCCTCCAGGTCCAATACAAAGAGGTGTCCATGTACTACTGGATCTTGTTTTTTGGAGGTTACCATGATGTTCTTAAGTGATGAAGAGACTGAGACATTACCCTACTTGTAATCCCGAGGACAGGGAGGAAGAAAGATCTGTGTTAGAGCATAAGTATTCATATTAGTAGGGAATCTGACACAGCCAAACATCAGTAGAAATCATATTTAGGTTATCTTGTTTTTGTCATGCATGGCTTGACAGGAAACTCTGGTTATAAGAAGGGGGCTTTCAAAGAATAGGTTCACTTCAGGATCTCCATGGGTCAGAAACACTTTGAAGGTATACAACAATAAAGTAATTTGTATAGGCCTCTGAGCAATTTTAGGAGAAAGAGAGACAGTCAGATGCAACACAGCAAAAGTCAGATTATAAGTGTTTTTGTTCTGAAAATATAACTCACTCCATGCTACTACATCCCATTTGGATTTCTTGCTGCAGGGCTCACTGTAACGTGCTATTTTTCTAGTCACAAAATGATTGCTAGAGAAACCCTAGGCTTGCAAATAAGGACCACAAGGGGAATCTTCTCTATTCCTAAGGGAGTCTGTTTTCTTACAAGCAGGAACCATTGTACTCATCATCTCCAACATAATCCAGGGTTTCTGACTTTAAACAAGCAGTATAGGAGAAAGGAGCAAATGCCAGAAAAATAACAAGAGAAAGAAGGATTCTGTGTACAAAATGTTGAGACTGGTCGAGGCTGTACCTGTAGATTTGATTCCTTTAGATTTCATGTAACCCAGAGTGAAACAGTTCTGGGGCTTTGGGGGCTGCACTTACCCTTCACTGGACACACCATTGAATCATATATAATGTGTAAGTTGACATCATGTATAAGTCAAGGGCAAGTTTGGAGCCAAAATTATGGCTTTTGATATGACCCATGGATAAGTTGACAGTCATTCAAGGAGATGGTGGCAGGGTATAAGAATAAAGTTGTTGTTGTTGTTGTTGTTAATATTATTCTTATACATATTTTCAGGATTCTTCCTATATAAAGTGGGCCTTTGGTATCCACTGAAGTTTGGTTCCAGGATCCCCCAATATTGAAATCCATGGATGTTCAAGTCTCATTATATGCAATAGCATAGTAAAATAGTGT